ACAGCGTCACACACGGCGGCCTACAGTGAGCGGAGGCCGGCTTGAGTGAGCGGCTGCGGGCGGGCTTGAGAATGGTGATTTCGACGAAGGAGCGTCCGGAAGGACATGTGATGACCCCGGGCTGGACTCCGCTTTGTCCACGGTGAAAGCCGATCCGGCGATGCACAGCGCGATGTTGATGTATTTCCTCAGCAACCAGCACGGATCAGCTCCAGGCATGACGAAGCAGATATCGTCCTCTTTTGGAAGACCAAACAAAGTAGTTTCGCTTTCACAACGAAGCACACAGCATCTTTACGACATGGCGGCGGAAACAACAAAACTACAGCGGGAATAAAAGTTACGCCTTCTTTCTTTGCACATTGTGAACATTTGGGCAGCGTTATGCAAATCTTCCCACATAGCGACGTAGATATGTGGGGGCGTGTTAGAACGAGCCGTTTTAGGTAGGTGTGGCTAACTCTTAACTTTTATAAAGAATATCTCTTTGGATTTGAGACTTTAGTCTTTGCAACTTTACAGATCTTCTTTATGCACCAAGAGCTTGTAACACTCAAAAGAGAAAGGAAAAATTGAAATCGCATCATATGACCCCTTTAAATAAACTATAACGAAGTTATTTTATAATGACAGTACATTAAAGATTTGAAAATAACTATAAATAAACTATATTCAATCGCTGCATTTTTTTTTCAGAAAGATGCAGTGGTAACTTTAACTTTTTATTTTAAGATTTAACATTTGCAAATGGTCTAAAGCAAAAGAGTTGTAAAAATTCTGAAAATCTTTTAGAGCTCATAATTTGTTTAAAAAATATAACATATTACACATTAATGAATAAATCAGTATATATAAAATTATTTAATATAAATGTCATGTTTGTGATTTTTTTTGTTCATGTAAGCTATAGCTTCTTACCTTTAAATAAAAAAATACTCATAATTTAATGGCATCAATAACTGCTTTATTTAATCAGAAACACAGTCTAAATATTATTTGTGTATTTTTCTTTCTTTTATCAGAAGTAGGCCAACAGCCTAAAACTCCTTACTGAGCAGGCATTAGGACCCGGGGGAGGCTGCCGCTGCTGCTACTGCACATGCTATTACTGTTTACTCTATCATACATGAACGCGTCATTCTGTACGTGCTTTCACAGTTTAAATGCAGTGATCCAAAACAGTGAATCTAATCATCATTCAGGCAAAACTGCTTCAAGAATGAGCCACACTGCTGACTTGATCTAATCGCACTGTTGACGTGATCTAATCGCACTGTTGACGTGATCTTATCGCTAGCACACCCTGACCACATGGGAGTTAATGTATTCTTCTTATCAGAAAGACATATCGGCATAATTTTTCATATCCGATATTGGTCCGATAATATCGTGCATCCCTAA